TGTAAGTGCTCTTTCCTCTTGAATTTTTTGGAATAGTCTGAGGAGGATAGGTTTTTGTTCTTCCTTGAATGTTTGGTAAAACTCCCCTGTGAAGCCCGCTGGCCACAGGCTTTTAATTGCTGGAATCCTTTTGATGACTGCTTCAATTTCCTCCATAGTTGTCAACCTATTGAGATTTTTAGAATCTTCCTGATTGAGTTTTGGAAGGTTGTATTTTTTTAGGACTATGACCATTTCCTCTTGGTTGTTTAGTTTATCGGAATAGAGTTGTTCATAGTATTTTTAACAACCCTTTGTATTTCTGTGGGGTTTGTTATTTCGCCTCTTTCATTTCCGATTTTGTTTATTTGAGTCCTCTCTCTCTGCTTCTTAGTGAGCCTGGCTAGAGGTTGATCAATCTTGTTTATCCTTTCAAAGAACCAGCTCTTGGTTTCATTGATCTTTTGTAATTTTTATTTTATCTCTATGTCATTATTTCTGCCCTGATCTTTATTATCTCCTTCCTTCTGCTCACTCTGGACTTTTCTTGTTGCTCTCTTTCTAATTCTTTAAGTTGTAGAGTTAGATGATTTGTTCCCATTTTTTCTTGTTTTTTGAGGTAGACTTGTAGAGCTATGAACTTCCCTCTCAGGACTGCTTTCACAGTGTCCCATGGATTTTAGATTGTTGTGTTTTCATTGTAATTCTTTTCCAGGATGTTTTTAATTTCTTCTTTGATCTCATTGGTAACCCAATCATTGTTTAATAGCATGTCATTCAGCTTCCAAGTGTTTGAATATTTTTGGTTGTTTTTGTTGTAATTTATTTCTAATATTGTGCCATTATGGTCTGAGAAGATGCTTGGTATGATTTCAGTCTTCTGAATTTGGTGAGACTTTGCCTGTGACTCAATATGTGGTCATGAAAATGTCCCTTGTGCACTTGAGAAGAACATACGTTTTGTGACTTTGGGGTGAAATGTTTTGAAGATGTCTATTAAGGCCATCTGATCTAGTGAGTCATGTAGGAGTGCTGTTTCTTTGCTGATTTTTTTTTTTTTTTTTGTCTAGAGGATTTATCCAGTGATGTCAGTGGGGTATTAAAGTCCCCTAGTATGATGGTATTGTTTTCCATCTCTCCCTTGATATCTTCCAGGGTTTTTTAATGTATCAGGGTTATATGCTCTTGTTTTTCGATTCCTTTA